CAAAAACTCTCATCAGCGTGCGCAATATATATCTCCTTGCGGCCATGCCCTAGGTCGCACCTTGGGCTGTGTCCTGTTCCACGCGTTCGCATCGTCCCTGGCCATCTTGTTGGCCGTATGGCTGGCGTGGCACAATCTAGAGTTGGTGTAATTCGAGCCCCGTGTCTTGTAAATGAGATCCGGAATCAAACGCGTCGATTTCCACTGGATTGCGCTGATATCAATGAGGGCATCTGAGATCTCAATCTTCCTTGCCGGTCGACGCGCTTCTGCGAGGAAATCGAGGTCCGCCGACGAGTATCACATTTCAAAGACGACTCTGGTAATTTCCAGTTCGGTTCCGCTCCAATGGGTTTGACGCTGATTCATCGCGCTTGCCGGATCCTTCCCCGGGTCCAACAAAGAATCCTGGCCGGGTCAGCCGACTGAACCCTTAGGCCATCATGGCCGTCGGGCCTCCCGGGCCCAGTCGGGTGAATCGGCCGAGCGGTTCAGCGCTAGCTCTGTAGGAAAGGATCGATTAGCTCAAGAAAAGATAAAATGGAAGAATCCTGCGGGATGGATGGAATGATGGCGATGGTATGAAGACTCAAATTCTACAAACTTCACCATCACACGAGATTCTGCGTTGGTATGGTCAGCTGTCCCGCTTGACTGGTTGCAAATATTGATTCCACAAACTAGTCCAATCGCTCCCCATCATGTCCTGTCCCTCGTGTGATAGATAATCTGACGACACTGCCAGACGGACTCGAAGAATGCAAGTGTGGGGAAATCCGGAGACCGCGTAATTTACTCTGGTTGCTAGGATATAGCCATATCAAGGCCCGACCAAATGCCATATTGGTATGTTGGTGCAGTGGCTAGGACTGATCAACAAGCACGGTTTCCAATGCCTCGTCACAACTGAATACAAGAGGGAAAATGTCCGCATCATCGTCTCATTATCAATATCAACCAGGGATGACCGGTCCTACAGTCACAGCCTTGCGAGACATAGCCCCATTATATTTTCTCGGCCACTGCATCAAAAGACCGAATTGGCATTTGGTCAGACTTGGTATGACTGATATACCAGCATGTTCTCCACAATAATATGGCCGATTGACACCCACCGTTCCCCATATGGCACTGATAATCCGCAAGGCTCGGAGGCGCCTGCCCGGGCACATCTTTTATTTGCTGTTCGTGCAGGCGGGGTTTTGACCGAGATTCTCGTTGGGGCTCTGAATCGACATGTATTCGTTCGTCCGTCTTCTTCTATTTGTGCGCCTACCATGTAGTATGTCCATCCGAAGCAATGTATACGCGCCGCAACGACACAGCCTCCATAGACTGGCTTACGACGCTCAATGGGGTAGGACCTTGGTTACAGCCAGCACAGAGGTGCTCCACAGGTCGCGATGATCAATGACATCGCTGGCTGTGTTGTATGCGGACGATATGGAGGCTACCAAGGCGCAAGGTGAAGACTGAAGTCGGCAGTGCAGTCTACGACTCGGCTTGAGCGACTTGAGATGGAGTCATGATAATGCCTTGAGCAATGCCTAGAGCCGAGCGAGGGTATAAGTACGCCCGTGAAACCACCCATCAATCCTATCCAGTTCCATCCACAACCCAAAAATCCCAGAATCTTTTCAAACCATCCATCTTCAAATTCTCTATCTTGACCTTCAGCTTGAGTCAACCTTTGATCACCATGAAGCTCATCAGTGTGATTTCTCTCTCCCTCATCGGCCTCGCTGTTGCTATGCCTGGCATCGAAAAGGTAAGACTTTCCGGCATGCGAAGACTCCTCCATTGGAAGTGATACTTACAGATTATCCTCTAGCGCTGTTACGACGAGGGGGCTGGGTGTTCTAGTGATATCGACTGCTGCGGTAATATGGGCTGTGCTCTGATCGATGATGAGGAAAGATGCATGAGCATTGGAAAATAAGTCCTCAGTCGTTGGATAGGCGGGTGGCCTTTGTTGGGGAGATGTTTCGGCGAGATGTTTTGACATGTGGCGGAGGATTAAATGAGGCTGTACTGCGAGTTTTCTTTTGCATGTACATTTCACCAGAAGCCTGTTAGCCAGATATTATGAATGCAAGAGGGTACAGTCTATTGATGAGAGAGTTGGCGACTCATGATACGAATACATACCACCCATCAAGTAAAACATCGCTGATGGTAGATCTACTATGGAGTTTTAGACGTGGTATGATACAACACTCCCCAGCATAGTAGATGGATCGATTTGGTTCTAACCTGCTGGATATCAAAGCCCAGATAACCACCAATTAATGCTTTTGATCGAATAGTCAAGATACAACGACATTCTATCAGGTTATGAGCCGAAATAAAACTTGTTTAATCTAGAAAACCTAAGATTTGTAAACCTCTCACCTGCAGCTAAGAGCCAAAGCGAGAGCCAGAGCCAAAGTCAAACCAGAGCCAGAGTCAGAAACAGAGCCAGAAGCAAGTGCCAGGCTCTTACTGGGATGTGTCGAATATCAAGACCCTACCACTCGCCAATTGGTGTTTTTGGTCGAATGCTCAAGATGAATTGTCATGCTAACAAAACCCAAGGGTAGCAGGACCGTCAAGTCTTCTGCTCAAAGCACCAGTTGGGTATTTGCCTTATGTGCGTCTATTGACAGACCCAGGGAACGCCAATCACCGTACTATGAGAAGGACTGACTGATTCAATATTTATATGCGAGAGTTCCTGACTCCCATAGTCTCATGATCGAATGAAGGCAGAATGACTGACGGGGTGACTGTTCTAAGTCGTTATACATGGCGGTGTTGGCCGTGAAAAACACTGCAACGCGAAGAGACGACACTTACGGGGATAATAATGAGTGTTGTAGTAACCTACAACGAATATCAAATGTTACAGTTGCAATGGCATAGTCTAGGCTAGAGGTATATTAATTTCATACCGTGCTACACCCAAGGACAGACTGGGGGTGCGGCGTCAAGGTGGAGGGAAAATATATATATTGTACATCCTACAGCGGGATATAGTTGTCTCCACAATCAGTACAAGGATTTAGCTGCTACCATTCTGATAGATGCAGCCATCAAGATTTCCTTGACCAAAAGAACAATATAAGAGAAAGGAAAGCAGAACAAATCAAATCGAGATCAATCTTCAACAAAACCAATGTATGATAGAAAAAAAAAAAGATGAGAAAAAAAGATGATCAAGTCAACGCCAATGGCGCTGCTGGGAATCGAACCCAGGTCGAATCGGAATTGTTGTTTGAAACCACAACGATTCATGATGACCACTACACTACAGCACCTTGATCTGTTACGTCAAGCGGGTGACCCACCACATATCGATCTTTTGCCCGACTGCACGCCTGCCTTGTGGTGGATCGTCGTGGGATGATGCTTATTTGTCGGGATCAAACTCTCCTATAGACTCGCGTCGCTTACGGACATCATCGCTGATGTGAGATTTTCTAGACTGAAGCTAAACTTGCTTACTGTTGTTGGTCGTTGCAAGCCACCCGGACACAAGGTTTTCGAGGCCGGTCTGTGTACGGATAAGGCGTACTTGGCGTACATGGCCCAACCATGAACTCGATTTGACTTTGGGTCAGCCTGAGAAAAGACATGGCCGGTTCACAGCCTACCATGGCTACCCCGAAAACAATGGCGATTCAGGATCGACCGCAGGGCGCACTGTAGCGTCGTGACCATCCAATTCGCGACCTACAGTCTCCCCAGGATGCACCCCACCTGAGGGGATCAGGATGAGGGACGCAATGGGCTCCAGCTGCTGTCTGGCGCACAACACCCGCAGTGTTGAATGTTGGAGATGATGTACACAGTTCCCCAAGGCGAGCTACGCGGAGCGCCATCCGTCACCCACGGGGAGAGCGAGTCAGGGGTAAGATCGATGCCCCACACGGGCCAAAGCCGCTGTTATCAACACCCTTCACATGTGTCATGACACTGCCTCTCACGAGAAACTTAGCCGAGATTTGCAGCGGCGTAATCCGCCGGACCCCGGTCAACCAACTCCTGTGTCTTGCGGCGATGGGCCTAGCGAATCCTGAACTGGGGGAGAGATTACGACCTTTTCTCCCGAAGACATACCGCGCTGACTCGAACAATGCGAGAGGAGACCCACCGAGTGCAAAGGCCAGGGAAGACCAACTACTGACTACTACTAGGCTGTGTCTCGGGTCATACGACCTCGTGATGGACCCGTCGTTCTACTTCTCCCGCCGATGCTAGGACTGGCCATCACGTGTCCCCATCTGTCAAGCTAGCCATGCAACCGAAGGTTTCATCCCCATCTATCTGCGCGATTGCGGGGGGAAGGTAGAATAGGTTCGTGGGTTGGACCCAGGGTAACTCCGCCGGAATCACAACCGGGATGCATGGGCCCGTCGAGGAAGTCGAAACCGGTTGAGTCCCTGAGCTCGCCCGTGCAGGCGGGCCAATGGACGCGTTTTACGTCTCGAGGCTTAAATGGCAAGGGGCGTGGCGGGGATTGGACACAAGGGGCCGGAAACCAACCCCGTGGGTGCCATGCTTTCCCCCGTGGCGAACAAGGCGTCACAAGTCTCGCGGCATTCCTGCTGCATTCAGCGGCCCCCACTCGAACTAAAGCAAGAACTAAGGCAAATTCTCCGAGACACCGCAGGAGCCTTCTCATCTCCACCTTCTTCCCCCCCCCTCTCTGGTGCAGTAGCTTGCCTTCCTTGCTGTGAAACCCCCGCGTGGTCGACACCACGTCAGCCGAGCACGAGGCCTGGAACGATGCGATGCGTCTTGGCGATGCTCCTTGCTCCAACGTGCTGGGTCCAGATGATGGGGCTGCGTCGGATGCAAGGAGAGATCGTAAACCGCAGAGCACGTTTTCGAACGGGGAATCAGGCACGATCGTGTCTCGGCGTGTACCGAACAGATGAGATGTGAAGGGGAGCAACCGGGCGAGAAACCTAGGGTCTACTACAGGGTGATCGGAGAGCTACAGAGGAGCGTTGGAACGTGGGAACTTCAATTATGGACATAGTAGTTGCCGCACCGATGGACTCCCCCAATTAACGAACTGCAGGACAGTGCGACCAGGGGAAGAAGGTGGAAATAATATAAGTCTATGTAGACACTATGGTGACAAAAGAAAAAAAGGGTAATAAAAAAGGAAGAGAAAAATGTGAGAAGAAAGGAAGCAACAGAACGATGCGTGGATCAGATGACCACGCGGGGGAATCCATGGAAAAACCACCAGGCCACACCGTCAACGCAGGATCGATCGAGCCTGCCGCCCCAGCTGGGCGACCGACCGCGATCTGCGCCGCGGGAGTCCCGGAGGGGAGACAAATTAGTTGGTGCTGGGCTGCTCCTGGCTGTCGCCGCTGCTGAGGGCGAGCTCGGCCTTGTCGGTGCCGGCGGAGACCCGGTTCTCGGGGACGTCGAGACCCAGCTCGATGGACATCTGGGCGATCTGCTCGGCGTTGAGCTTGGGCATCTCGTTGGCGACCTGGAAGGGCCACTTGCCCTCGATGTGGGCCTTGGCGAAGATGAGGTCGACCTCCTCGAGGTCGCGGCCGGCAGTCTCGGCGTAGAAGAAGTAGGCGAAGGGTACGCCGATGAAGTTGACCAGGGCGAAGAAGAGGTAGATGCCCCAGGGACTGGCGTCGGAGAAGACGGGCGTGAACATGACGACGGCGAAGTTGGTGATCCAGTTGGTGCAGGTGGAGGCGGCGGCGGCCATGGTACGGGTGCGGAGGGGGTTGATCTCGGGGGGGTAGATCCAGGGCAGCGGCAGAGTCGTGAAGGCGAAGAACACGATGAAGAGGAAGATACCGACGATGGCGCCCTTGGACGGCTCCGGGCCGCCCTTGATCAAACAGCCCATGGTGATGACGAAACTCAGTCCCTGGCCCATGAAGCCGATGAGGAACAGGTTGCGGCGGCCGACCCTCTCAATCATGAAGAAGGAGGGGATGGTGGCCAGGGCGTAGATGGTGGCAAAGACACCACCGAGAATGAGAGACTTGCGGTGCGGCATGTCCAGGTTCTGCTCGAAGAGCAGGGTGGAGTAGTAGATGGCGGCGTTACAACCGGTGAACTGCTGGAAGAACTGACCGGAGCAGCCGATCATCATGCGCTGGAACTCCTGGGTCTTGCCGAAGGTGAAGAGAGTCTTCCAGCTTGCCTGGGCGCCCTCGGTAGACTTGAGATCGGCCTTCATCATGTTGAGGTCGGCATAGACGGCGTCGGAGTCGGGGGAGGTGTCGCTCAGGGCGCCCAGGATCTCGCGGGCCTGGTCATCGTGGCCCCGCATGACGAACCAACGAGGGGACTCGGGCAGGGCCAGCGCGCCGAAGGTGACGAAGAGGGCCAAGAGGATCTGGAAGGCGACGGGGAAGCGCCACTGGACCGAGCTGTCGACGTAGGAGAGACCGAAGTCCAGCCAGTAGGCGACGAAGGTGCCGACGGCGATGATGGCACCCTCGAAGCACACGAGGAAACCGCGGTTGTGGGCCTTGGAGCACTCGGACTGCCAGACGGGGATGGTGGCCGTATCCATGCCGTTACCCAGGCCCGAGATCACACGACCGACGACGAACTGCCCCAGACCCCAATGGGGCCCGAAGGCGGCGGTGGAGATGATGGCGCCGACGGCCATGATGACACCGCCGGCAACCAGCAGCGGGGTGCGACCGATGCGCTCGCCGAACATGAGGGTGAAGACCGCGCCGAAGAAACAACCCAACTCGTAACAAGCGGTGACCGCACCGCGGAGGACCGAGACATGCTGCGAGTAGGAGTCGGTGGAGCCCGGGGGATGGCCAGGGGCGGGAACTCTTTGGTGAACTGGTCTCCGGAGATGATACCGGACATCAAGCCCTGGTCATAACCGAAGAGGGAAAAGCCCATGACGGAGGTGAAGGTGATCGCAAGCCGAAGCTTGCGACCCTTCAAGCCAGAGGTGGTAGTCCACATGGTGACTTGTCTGTTGGCCGGTGCCTTAACTATCTGAAGTGTGGAATGAAGAGAAGATGACCAAACACTGGGCACACACACATCGACCAGAACAACAACAGAAGCATCCGGACGGGGGAAGAGGTCGGGGGGGAGGGGGTTAATAAACCACGGGGTTCCTTTGCATCATGCGGGATTTAGTGCCATTGCTGACGAGGTTGCAGGGCCAAGAGGTGTAGGGGCAAAAAGAAAATTAGAAAATTAATTTTAAAATAAATCCAATCAAATGAAAAATCATGAATAAAAAAAAGTCAAAAGTTTGTATAGGCATGTCTCGCGAGGCGCCGAGAGAAGCCAAGAGAGGGGGGCCAAGGGACCAGGGGGTCCAATAGGGCGTCAGACGGCGGCCTTAGCGGCAGGCTGCTTCCTGGGTCAACCGTCTCTAAAGAGGGTCCTCCATTTGAGAGAAGGAAGGCTAGTGTAGCAGGATCCAAGGTTCCAGGACTGAACGACTTGCGGAGAGCGGGATAGGGAGAGGACCGAATCAGAAGATGCGGAGAGACCGAGAGAGAGAAGAGAGCACGAAGGTGAAGCCGAAGTTGAGAAAAACAACGCCTCTCTCGGGCAGAGATTTCATCCCGTGACCCAACGGAACCCCAAAGTGGATCGAAAGGAAGGTTTGGGGAAAAAAGGATTCATTCCTGGAAGATGATGCTGTTCCATGCACAGCCGCCTTGTCATTATGATGCTTATGATCAGTCTTCCTGAAGTGTAACCTGTTATTAATGAAAACCATGGACCAATCTCCAGAGCGGAAAATGACTCGGGATTCTTGCTTCGATCGACTGCACCCAGCATGACAGCTAGCCTGGGAAGAGTGCCTTCGTTCAGCACCGGCGCCGGCGAAGGATAGGGCTAATGGCGTCGGCGGCGGCGCCACCAGTGCTTGGCTCTCCCCATGTGGAGGGTCGGGTCAGACCGGGGAAAAGGGAGGAAAAATTCAATCCAAAAAAAAAAAAAAAAAAAAAAAAAGTTAAATCAAATAATATCGACCAGAAAAAGAAGCAGAGAAGTTGGGCCTGGGCTACCACTGTCCACTGTTTACTCTTGACTTGACAGTGTCCAATGTCCGGTCTTCTACATGCTACTACCAAGTGCCCTACCACGGTCCACGGGTTCTACGCCTCTGGTCTACGGCCGAGTCCGATACCGTCCGAAAAGGTGGATTCCGTCATCCAGTGGAGGATCGTCGCCTCGCCTGCTGTAACAGGAATCATACCCGACCATCCATTTATGGGGAAATTCAGGGGTCATCTTGGCCTGGGTAACTTGATGTGGTTTCCATCGGTTCTGTGGTTGGTCCCAGAAATCCTCGACTTGGCTTCATGTACGAGTGCCACGGCCGATAGAACCACCGCAGTCTGGCACTTCAGATTTGTTCTGCCTCGGCATACTCGTATCCTTCGTGCTTGGGTGAGACTTCGCTTCCAAGTTCCAACCTAGTTCAATCCTCAGAACCAGCGGTCGGAGTGTGGCCATGGAGGTGCAAGGGTACTGGGGGTGCCCATCAGGACGAGTTGGGAAGGACGTCCAACAACAAACGGATCTCGTACATAAGGCTATAAGCTCCCCCGGCCTATATATAACCTGGGCGTCGATAGATACCGGATCCGGGGGGAGCGAACGACCGGTGGTCCTCTCCAGGATGTATCACACTGGCCAACACCTCGGGACACCTGCACTTTTGGTAGACTAAGTAAGCCCTCTTGGCCGAATAACAAGCCATGCAGAAGCCGAGCGTGTCCTTCTTGGCGGTCTCCTCTTCCCCCAATTCGCCCACCTGGGGGCTGAATAATAAGCCTGGCAGTAGACGATTCGTCCAGGCTGAGCTGCTCTGAGCTTAGTGGACCCACTGCGAGTGGAGGCCTGAGTGGGTCAACATCTAGGCGAGAGTCTTGGCCTGAGGCTGCACTGGCCGGAACCGGAAAATACCACCACCCTTCCATGGTCTCTCACTGACAGCCACTGGCCTCGGGAAATTAAGGCCAATAACTACGACAAGACAATAGAAGGTACTCCGTACTAGTATGTACGATCAGGGAAGAACCTTCTCCAATAAGAGTGGTACCGGCGGCGTTGCATCCCCCCCCTGTCCTTCCCAGCGCACGGGGCCGTCTGGAAGGTTCCGGCTTGAAGCGCGCCATGCGCGAAGCGAAGTGGCTCGCCGTTTTGCCCAAGACTCGGACGGCGCTGCGGCGCATGGACAGCGCCCCTCGAGCGATCGCAGCCAAGAAGGTATACAGCGTCCCGCAAAAGCTTGGAAATGGCGCACTGGGCGTACGTCATTCGAGTCACCAGGGAGGGGGGGGTGGTCCGAATTTTCACCCCGTCGCCAGAATGCCTGATGCGGGTTTAGCCCGCAATCCCCCCAGAATCCTCCCAGAGGGAGGGGACGAATCGACGGTCGGGAACGGAGCTTACGGCATGGAAATGCGACTATCCTCGCTGGGAGGGTGAAGCCGGGGCAGAGTTTTTTCGCCCGCGTTTCAGACCCCGCTACGCTACTCGACGCTACGGAGAACGTCCACGGGATGCAGCCGCTAGCCCGAGATGGACGGCGTTTCTGTCCAGCGTCGTGCCCGTGTCCGATGCCTTCGCAGCCTCTGAACGGGATCCAGATGGCTGGCGGTGCGTCATCCGACCAGAGGGTACAGGGGTGTTCTGCCCTCTGGGGTTGATTTTGCAAATCGAGGCGTGTCGGGCATGTAGGCCACACGTGGTTGGGGCAGCGGAGTCATGAAGCCGGTTATGCACGGAGATGGAGGGCCTGTATATCACCGGGTGCCGATCCCCAGCTGCGGTGGCCTGAGTCTGCCCGATGTCCTGTACCCGGCCCGAGTGAGAGCCCAGAAGTCCAAGAATTGGCAAGAGGGGCACTGAGGAGAAGCCCCCGAAATCCGGCAAATAACAGTTTCAGCGAAGTTCGGCTCCAGAATCAACCCGCCGAGATTGACCTCGGGCTGTACACAGAGACGACTCGGGCATCACTCGGAGATGTAACTGGGGGGACGTCTGTCCGGGATCGCAGTGTGGTACGTCGGTTCACTTGGCGAGGTGCCCAGATCCGCAATATCCAAATGAGTATATGGTTGAAACCTTGGCGTTCGCTTTTGGAATGCTAGTAGCTTGTGCGTTTATCCTGGCTTTCCTGATGCGGGTTTGCCTGTTCAGTCAAGCGACTGGGTATCTCAAGGCCTTTGGAGCTCTCCCTGTCTGTGACCGTTGAGATGGCTCCCTAGGTACCGGCAGAGGGCCTGGGTCTCTCCAGTATATTCTTCCCTTCATCGTTCCGGGTTGCTCGCCCAAGCATAGCACAGCCGCTCATGCTGTGTGTTCTGATGCTGGGGGGGACACTCATACCACTGCAATGAAGGTAATATTCGTCGACCACGGCAGGAGGCCCGTGGCCCTGCGGCGCGCATACTCAGCCAAGTTTCCTATATACCTTCTCGGAGGGATGCAAGCTCACTTCCTGGTGGTGAAGATGGTCTGTGTGGATACCAACCATGCAACTCTCTACGTAGTTAGGCCCTGTACACCTGTGCAAAACACTCTGTGGAGCGATCCACCTATAAAGGATCGAAAAGCTTTTAAGGACAATCAGTATGATCATATATGTAGGTAGGGTTTGTGACCAGCTCACGCCTTAAAATGAAAATCAACAAACAGGTCGTGTCTTTCCAGAGTTGGACCTGATACATACAAGATTCTTCGATCTAATCTGTAGTAGTACACTTTGCACTTGATCACAGTTTAAGCACTTATATTGGTTCTTGAGAAAACAACATTGGTGGTGTTTCATTTCATGTCTGGTTGGAGCGATTATATATAATCTATGACGGTTGTACCCAGACCCGAATACTACGGTATGAAAGCTCTACAACCGCTTTTGGACGATGTTACATATGAAATAATTTTTCATAGTATTCTCATGCTGATAAGCAAGTACACACGGATTAATGATAAAACTATCAGACAAGATGACCTGTACATCCGCATGTCATAGTAAGTCGCCATATCATTGTTCGAATTTGCATTATTTAGAGGCAATTCACCAAAATTGAAGCATCATCCGGATGTGTAGCCAAGAAGTGTATTAAAGAATAATGGATTCTTAACTAGAAGTTCAAACAGTTCTTATCCAAGATCTCCTAGTCGCCTAAATCTGGTGACAAGGTGTTCCACCATAGCTTTCACTCAGTGGTGTAGGCAGGGATTCTAATAGGACGTGTACATTTAGCTGGTCAGTCTTGGATTATATCTGTCCGCAAAGATCCTTGATAAGAGGACTTTCTGTACTGACAAGTAACAATAGGTCCATGCTATTTGAATTATAGAAGGGCTTATACAATGATTCCTCGTGTGATATACGGCTGTTGGCGAATATGAATCCCAATCCAACAGAATTTGAGAGCGGTAAATATCAAAGCCATTTGGCAAATTGTGTAGAAAGCTGGAAAGAGGGTTTGTAATAATAATATGGTCTGACATACACCAGCTGATTTAGGGAGTTAAGTTGTCCAAAAATACATGGGCGCCCTGGGTCACTGGGTGGCGGATACTGGGGTATACCATATCGGAATCTTGACTTATTAGAATTAATTCAGCCAGATCTTCAATCACTGCATTGCCCAGGTATCACCAGAGAGAGGCCGCGCTGTATTATTCACCAACTCGCGTCGAAGCATTGCCGAAAAGGGCAGGACATGACCATCGCCGCGCGGCGCTCGCCCGTCCGCCCGCCCGACAGAGTCTGTCAATGGATGACTCTTGATCTCATGCACTACCTCTTGTCCAGAGTGATTTCATTGATTCTAGTTGCCTCATTTTTTATCTGACCCTAATCTCTCATGACTTTCCCAAAACACCAAGAATCCACTACCTCATGATTACTGTTATTATGTTTATATTCATTGTTTCAGTCAATTTTATATATCAAGTTACATGCACAAAGAGGAGCTGTGCTTGGAAAAGAATCACTATAGTATGTATTCACACCCAGCGATTTGAGTCTTGATCATACGTAGTATCTTCTCAAAAGATGGGGCATCTACCAGATTACAAACTCAAAGGTCGACATAGTTGGGCTTTACGACTAGAAGCATACACGACGCCCCAGAATGTGGTATGGCGTACACCTTAACGTCGGGCTATGATGGCCTAGGTAAATTAGAGTAGGACAGGATCTTAGACACGATACTAATCATCATTCATCCCCGCCACCGCCAGGACCGTGTTTTAGATGTCTTTCCCCCCGGGGGGTTTGGTAGAGGTTTCTGTGGCAGGCTGGTGGTTGTTCGTTCCTTCGAGCGTTCTAGCTGGCCTTGAGGAATGATTTTCTCTCCATCATTCTTACTCACTTTTACCGCTGCTTGAGGACTGATCACAGTCGGGTCTGCTTGTAGTTTGGTCTCCAGCTCCTCTACAATACCTTGGAAGCCATTACTTTCTCTGATCGGCTTGATTTCCATTTCAACCATGTAGTACTTGGCCCCATATTGGACTTGAGGCTGAACATTGACTATGACACGATGCTTTTGCAGGGTCACCCATGTCCCCGGATCCTTGGGTTTATAGTGCTGCCGAACGGTGTGAAGATCATGGTGAGTGAATTCGTGTGGACGGTCAGCCTCGATAGCATCGAAACCTATATCAAAAACTCTGTTCGACCCCAGCAAGATGAGAAGGCCTTTCCCGCGTGGTCCCTCCATGACAACGAAACAGGATAGACTCAGAGCCTGTTTTTCCACTTTGAAGACCTTTTGAATACCGGCCGGGATATCATTACGCGATGATAAGATATGGGCTGGGGGATTTTCTACCTTGGCATTAGCGGAAATGGTCTTGATAAAAGCATAACCTGGCGATGCCCGAAATCCTCGCAATTGGACATAGTGCTTGGGAAAAAGCCCCTCTACTGCATTATGCGGAACTATTCCCGATGGACGAACGTAGATAGTTTTTGGTTTGCCACGCTCCGACACTTCCGCCAGTGTTCCTACTTTGACGCGCGCATATTGATCACTGACTTTTGACAATTTCTTCAGATATATCGCCAAGAACGTCGTGTCGCTGTAATCCGGCGGACATGGGCAATCGAGAGCAGCGACATAGGTATCTTCCTCTCGCCACAAAATTGGGAGCTCAATCTGAAGCCCGCGGTTGGTCATGATATAAGGTGTCCGAGGTTCCCAGTCTTGGTAGGGGAGAATATCGTGGCAGACAGCAAATTGGGAGGGGGAGGTAGCAAAGAGCCCGTGCAGGGAGGTTGGTGAAGCATCGGTGTCGGTCCAAGCGAAAAGGGACTGGTCGTCGGAGGATTTTATAATTTCCTCCTGCAAACGCAAGAATGCCTTCTCCCCTTCCCCATACAGCATGGGCATGTTGACAGAAAAGATACCCATCAGGCAGTAGGCGATGTCTTCAGGGCGACTGGTCTCGCGATACGCAGCCCATGCCATGCGCCTTGCCAAACTCATCGACGAAAGTGGTCTTCTGTGAATGAGGATATCTTCCTGGATGCGAGTGATTCGCTCCAGTATATCACACAGTGCGGTTTTGCGTCCTATTTCAGTCCAGTCGTTGGAGAAGAAAACCACCTCTCGGGGCGCAATCAACTCCTGCAACGTCCAACCTCGACTGAACCATCGACTTCGCTGAAAGGCTGACCCACGTAGCCGGGGATTATCGGTCTTTGGCACATCTACTAGATATGCATAGCAAATAGCCGCTTTCTCATACCATATATAGATCGTGTTCAAAGTCTCTGATAGCTCTGCACTGCTGGACTTATCGATACAACAGGTATCAATCCAAACATATTGGAGATGGTCTGCTTTCGCTTGTTCACATGTGCTCAATACTTTCCCCCATGATGGGTTCGATTTTCCGATGGGATGGTGGATGTCGGCCGCAGTTACCTCGTCAATTCCCCATGTGTGAGAAAGAATGGCGTAAGGAGGGATTCCGTTGGGAGGAAAATCTTCTAGGCTTAAGGAAGAAACATTGAGAAGTCTCATTATGACGGTGAATCAGATTCTGTCTTCTCAGTCAATATAGAGAATAAGGTCCTATTAAATATCCGAGTCACATTCAAGTTGGAGCGTAAAAGTTTTTATCAAGTGAGGATCACCAACCCCTTTTCATGGGGTACCAGGTCCTTTTCCCCGGGATTCCATACAAGGCTGTGAACCAGCCTCTCGCGAGGCTTTAGAAAGGCGCCTCACAAGGCTGAAACAGCCACCCCACAAGGCTACAGTTATAATAAGCCAATGAACATGTAACTTTATCAGCAAAGTATGGTTTCGCGGGGCAGTGCTCGTATTTTGATTACTAGGGCAATACTACCCTAAATACTTGTTTGAGAAGCTCTTCAAGAAGCTCTTCAAATTATATAAAAAAGATCATCAGTGCCAAAATCTTACGCATATCTGTAAACACCATACAACATGTCAGCAACAAAGACTCAGGAGCAACGCACCGAGGCAACGAACACGGGAATAGAAGCGTGTCCAGATACTCTAGAACCCCCTCATGAATCGCAGACAGCTGAGAAAGACATTGTCGACAATGATGTCTCTTGCAAACGAAACAATCATGGTGAAATTTCACATATACAGCCAGTTCCCGATGAAACGCTGCATATACAGCGGCCAGCAATTTCTGTCCCGCCGATTGAAAGAATATCGGTCAAGACATCCCCTGGACCGAGGCATATCATGACAAGTCAAGAATAGTGAGTCATTCGATGGCCGATATTGTATCGAGACACATAATACTGATACCAGAAAATAATAGCTCTTCGATAGCAACAACGTACCCAGTAACCACATCTAAATTTGAATATGTGCCAGTCAATGAAAGAGTCACTCCATTGAACCAACTTACAACGAAGACACCACAGCAGATAGACTGTATGTTCTGCGAGAAAAGAGCAATGACCCGTATCGTGGAGGAGGAATCAGATACGACCATGTAAGTCCATCCCAACATCCGAGTAAAATAAAGTCTAACTGTTTATAGGTTGGCTGCTGTTCTCTGCTGTCTAACTTGTGGGATATGCTGTATATGCATTCCATGCCTAGTCGGGTTTGGTAACACCTTCGCTCATGTGTGCACTTATTGTGGAAACAAAGTTGCCATCAAGCCAAATGATAGTCCATTACAAGTACAGAGGCCACAACAAACAGCCTCTGTTCCCTCTCAGTTTGCACCAGCCCCCAGGCGGTGATAATAACTTGTTGCAATATCGGAGAATTAATTAGCTACCCAGCTGTGCTTGACCATTTCAATGATCACCTATCCAAGCATAGACAGTTATAACATGTTGGTTCCTTTTTCTTTTCTTCTTCTTGCGTTTTGGTTGATTAGCTAGCTATTTTATCTAAATCAAAGTTTAATACTATATAGTTGAGGGCTTTTTAGGGCGGCAGATCACACCGATAGGCATATTCTGGGTAGATATATCGTGCACGTCTTGTCCTAGATAAAATTCTCTCTATCCCAGACTCTAATAATTGCACGTATGATATGTTGGGTATACCAGTCAGGTTAAGCCCTATACCAAGCGTTGGTCAACGTTTTGGTCTAGTGGTCTTGAGATGATATGCCACCGAGATCTCTCCTGGCCGTCCACCACGTTGTTTACTCCCTACGATCTCTTTAAACAGGGCCGCTTGGCCCCCTACAAGAAGTATGGCATGTCTGTCGGCATAATCAATAGGCAGGCTACTACGCAAGGTGACAGTGAAGTCGACAAGAAAGATCAACACGGAGACAATATGGAAACTGTTGTGAAATGGTCTAGCAAGATCCGCTGTCCTTTTCCCATCATTTCCTTGGTCAGCCTCTAGGATGACAGTTCCACCATATTGCGAGGGCTTGCCTTTTCTTGTGTTCCTACATATTGACACCTGTATATTACGAATGTAGTTTATTCTATCCCAAAAATCTCATTTAACATTGGAGGATGGTGACCCCAGCCACACTATGCCACGGAGATCCTTGAATTTCTAGTCTATACACCACATGCAGGTGCCTTGGACATAGCCTTCCTGTGAATTTCTTAAATTTGGATGATCATCGATTGTTTCGAGCCCGGCCACGTAATGAATACGACTTGTTGAGTTATACTCCGGTGGGCATGGCCTTCAATACTTGATTGCGTCCTATTTACTTAGGGAACGGTGACTACTATGCGTGGTTAGGTGGATCGCACACGCGGTTACCCGGTTAAGCCTCAGGCTGCCACGTCCCACACTTGAGTTCGGAGCCCATGCGGAGTCGACGATAAGCCCATATGGAGAGGCCCCACTCTAGTGTGGGCACAGAAGGAGTTTCTTGGCACTGGCTTGCTTATCCTGGCCTACAACTGAATTGTCCTGCATCATTTACACCTAGGCATTTGTGCTTTTATATATTGTTTTTTTTTTAAGGGTCATTGGGGCTGCCTTCTCCGAGACCATGCCTATAAAGGCCCCTAAAGGTATGTGGAATGATCAGGGATAAGCTCTGCTTTGAAGAATAATAAGAAAGACCTAGGCCGCCAACCTGCAAGGTCTTGGCGGTAAAGTTGCTTACCAGAGCGTGGATGTCGTGTAGGTAAATTTCTATACTAAATAGTGGTTGCAATCCTTCAAACCATAAAAAGGAATCAAATTTCTTCGGAGTCACCATTTAGTCTTGGCGAGCTAGATCCTTTCGCGTGCGTAGTTATGTGCATTCAACTATAAAACCTAGAGGAAGGGAATAGCTTTTATCTATTGGCTACCAGGTCAATGGGCTAAGGAATGAGATCGCCTCTAGGTGCACCTATGGTCTATGAGATGCATGATAGGTCACATTTAAGCGTCTACTAAACAAACACTTTCAAATTACTTGAGCAATATATGACCACTAAATCGGGTTACCACTATAGGGGAGTGTCATAATCGACATCGAAAAACAACCGAATCTAGGATTGCATAAATTAACTGACTTGACCTAATATAATACTCAAACAGTGGGGGGCATCAAAGGAGAAGGCTACTAACTGAATTGCCCATGAATGGCCCTTCCAGGATACGTATTTCTACATAATAAGTGTCCTTAGACCTAGGCAATTGGCTCCACACCCAGCTTATTCGAAGGATGTTTCCCGATTACAGAATTATTGAGATCAATTATCAGCTTAGGAGGAGAAAACCGACTCAGCTATGTAAATATTCTAAGGTTAACCTTCCGTCGCACTTATCTAAGGCTTGATATGAGGGCGCTACGCCCCCTAATCTTCGCTCCATACTTATAAAATATGAAGGGAATTGGAATAAGGATGATCTCTAAGCATCCCAAAGTCGTGCCAGCCCAGTTCACCCCAAGCGTGTCATACATTTTTGGCGCTGCAAGTGGGAGAGTCGCAGCAAAGCTGTATCTGAGCGCCGTGGCCCCAGCTACAGCAGACGCAGTATATATACCATAGCTGCCCGACAGGTAACTGAGGATATAGATAAACACAAGCGTATTACCAAATCCAAATGGAACTCCGGCAAGAATTGGAACAATCCAGTGGATGTTTTCTTGGGGCGCAGTCCATGAAAACCAAAACTGGCCGATAGGAACCAAGATCCCTCCTATACAGGCTGGGACCATGTATGCATCGAGAGTGCTACCAGATGGATCGTGGTAGTATTTCGTAAGAAAAGTACGAATCACGGGTTCAAGGATAACGGCGCAAGTTACTCCCACACTAATACCGCAGTATGCTAGTCCTGCTATCCCAGGTGACCATCCACGTTGCTGTTCGAATACGACTGGATAACCGATAAAGCAAAGAAAGAGTATCGCATAGAATATAGCAGCGTAAACATTTAGCATAAGACTATAAAGGTATCGGAGAGTCAGTTAAACGATATTTATGGAAAGAAGTGAATGCTGTCTACCATATTGGTTCGAAGAAGGCCATTTTCAGGGGTCGTATAATGCTTGTCTTCGCCTTATCCCAGTCATACGGTTGGCAATCGTCGTCATGGCGCTTCCACCAACTTGGGCCCCTTGTTCGGTGTTGAATTTTCCTTTGTCTCTCCAGGATGACTGGGGCATAGGTCTCCTCCAGAAGGAAGTTTGCAAAGAACGAAGCCCCGCTGCAAATTCCTACAATCCAGTTGATCCATCGCCAACCCATATGTTCAAATACAAAGCCACCCATGATCGGCCCTAGTCGTCATCAGTTTGGTCTTTGGAAGGCTAATAGAGAAGATCTCAATAATACCAATAACAGCACCATTCATCGCACCCAGGCTCCAAAAGCTAAATGCCAGCGCCCGGTGCTTATCACTGACAAGATCACTAACGGATCCTGGCGATGTACTCAAACTTGCACTCACAACAAAGCCTCCGAAGAACCTGCTGGCTATAATAGCAGATGGGCTGGGCGCCAATGCCGCGGGGATTACCAAGAGGCTATGTAGCCCAGTTGATAAAATATGGACAGGGCGCCGACCATAAATCTCACTCAGCGAGGTTAACAGTAAAGACCCCAGAGCAAGTCCTAATAGATAAGTTGTCCCTCCTAGCAGTACCATCGTTTTGGATGTGCCTGGGAATGAAGCCTGGATGCCACTGATACCTGCAGTATAGGCAGAGGCATAGATACCACTAAGCAGAGTGGCCCATATTATGAGCTAATGAACAAAAGTATTGTGTTTAATAGGTGATCCACTTACACTATAGTAGGCATAAATGAGTTAGTCGCTATCCCAAAGATCTTGTACCATACTGGCCAATTCTTTGGATTGTTCGGTTCATTCTCTCCCCAGATAACTTCCAGGGTCGATATTCGGCGAACTTGCTCCTCAATTTCGCCACACCCTTCTCCGAGTGCGACTTTATTCGCCATAACTGAAGTATACAGCAACGGGATGTTGAGCTAAGTTTGAAAAGTCCCCACGTAATTAGAGAAAAAAACGATCACACACCGTCACCGCGGACGGGGAGGGCTATGGTATTCTTCCTTCTTAACCCCTCCCCAACCAGCCCATTTCCTGCCCCTTTTAAGTGCGAAATGAATGTTTTGTGGAGCAAGCAAGATATTCCTTTCTCCCTTGCAGTCGCTCGGACACAGTAATAACGAACAAAATGGTATGCCATAGCAAGGGCGAGTGGGCAAGTAAAATTGAGCAGCCCCATTTCCGAAACTTCATCCCAATTCGGATATGACTGCGACCACCCGAGTGGAATCTAAGAGATATCTAAGAGCAAATGCTTAAAATACCCGGAGAAAGGAAATATACAGATCTTACGAACAAGTTAGAAGATACCTTCAATCCTAAGGAAGTAGTAATATAAAAGCTTGAGACACATCACTCCTATATCCTTTTGTTATGCGTTTTGATACCATCGCTGTCCGTGTGAATAATACCTACCTAGATAAGGGTGGAATCCACACTGGATATCATACCGGGAGAGTGGGGCTTCTGCTTATCACTCAAAGTCTCGAAATTAGAATAAATAATTTCAAATAACACCTCAGCCAATCAGCAAAGTCAGGCAGGGCCAGTTTTTGAAACGATTTGTTTACTAGAGAGAGCTATTTATTGGCTGTACCTCCATGTTAGGAGCAAGAGCTCAGCAGGATATGAATTCAATTGGGAGGGTCTAGGTGCATTCCCCTTGTGAGGGAAGATTGCATCATTTTGACCTTCTTACGACAGTGTACAGGTATCTCCTACAAGGAGACTTGCAGATTCCTGTTATATTCTAAACACTCCCAGCATGTCACCCTCACCTCGCCAGAGTATGCAATATATATAACCCCACCCCACGCACTACGCCTGAGAGCGACGTCTTCTCAGAAACCATTCAAGCCACTCCCTTATTCATTGAAACACGGCGTTTCCCCAAGATGAGACCTGAGCAAGAACCCTCTATCCAAGCACTATCAGAGAAAGTGGCACTACCCATGGTGATGGACGGCCATGGCAGGTGTTGAGTCTTCTTTTGCCCTTTCAAAGCCCGGAGTAAAAGCTCTGGTGGGACAAGGTTGGCCCCCTTATTGAGATCTACTTGAACTGTTCAGGGTACAAGTGGTGCTCAGTATCGTTATTTTTTAATGCTCCACTCCATTATTCTTCTAGTGCTTGGGCCATTTTTAAATTACAAGAAATGAATTCACCATGGCCTTACTTCATGAATAACGGAGATCCATGTGACCTCAGCATCAACTATCAAGGTGGCTCAGCATCATATGTCGCATAGGGATTGAGCCAATAGGACCCATGGCAGGGGCGAACCAAGATCCCATGAATGAATACGCCGCGAGGCGGCTTGAAGACTTGAGCCGGATTCAGACTGACTTAGACTTTTAATTATTTGACTACTCTAGGGACGCCTTGGTCTTATTGAACCACAAGGCTTGTCTGTGCTGGGATGGTATTCAGGAACATGGAATCAAAGTTCAGGGGCATATCGGGCTTGATCTCCACGAGCACTCACTTAAATGAAGGCTTACTGTGTCCCGCTCCTACGATCTCTCACGAATGGTGTCCATTATGTGCGCATGATAATAGATAGCATCAAGACGATTCCGAGAGACCATCCCATTACTCTCGGGCTTTCAAAAGTGGATGAGTACCTAGCCGCCACTAAGCATCTCCTTGTGGACTCCAGAAGCTGTTCCTCTCTCGACTGCGCCGACTTGAAGCACTCTAGATACAAGATATATGTGGGTGCAAACGTGAAAACCTTGAGGGAAGCCTATGGGTTCTGGACTCTAGGAGGCCGCCTGAAGGGCGAGGCTATCGACCGTGGTTTTCAAGTCATGGAGAAAGTCTGGAAAACAATGTACGCGAAGTCGTTACCTGGAATGAAGCCGAGGGAGTATATACCGTTCATATGGAACTGGGAGGTAGCACCGACAGACTCAGATCCTATCCCCAAGGCATACTTCCAGGTTTTGGACGACTACGATAGTCTGATTACTGAGGTAATCACCTGCCTGTTTGGCGAACTTGGCTGGACCGAACACGCAATGACACATCAGATAATCCAGAAAAAGGCATAGTAAGTTCAACCAGAGCATCTCGCTCCTTCGCTCTTGAAGTTATCTCCTGACTATGTACGGGGTTGCTGACGCTTAATCAACCTAGCCCGGGCCATGACTTCGGTAGCTTCACTCAAGTCTATTCATGGATTTCGCTTGCTTATTCGCAAACGAAGGGTCCCTATATTACTATATATAGTAACCTGGCCGCTTCTTTATAAGTATCTATACTTAAGCATATGTCTACTAGAATAATATTCCTATCAACTAAGTCCCGGTTTTATCCGTGCAAACGTGTAAATAATAAAATACACCCTATAACACGTAAAAAAGTAGATCAATCAATGCTCAGATCCCATCCAAAGGCAGGATAATCCTGTTATATAGATTTAATGTAGGACACGAATGATGCTATTCCCTAGTAACCACCTGGCCTTATTCAGAAGTTTTAGATATAATATGATGGTTGAAACACTATAGTTTCAGTGCAAGGGATCCAGGCATGGATAGGTTTCTATATTCCCACCGTGCTTCCTTACCGAAGGTTGTGTAATAGGCAAGGAGGGAATTCTACCGATATTGTCGGCGGCTTCCAAAATAACTAGTCATTAATTAAGCGCCATATCAATGGTGATAAGCACTGGTACAGGTCCTCGACGAGACTTGTGTCTTTGACTTTGAATTTAGTGATCATACAACCAATCACATTGGGCTTCCTGGTAAGGACAACAGTGAGAACAGGCAAGGCTCCTGTTCAGGAAAAGACTGGGGTCTTGTCAAATTTTTTCGGTTGTGCGCCACCTACTCTACTATACTATACCCAGTATAGGTATGATTCATATAGATAAAGCGGCGAAACTTGTTGTAAATGCATACCCAATGAGAACAATACCAGAAACCAAATTCAGACCATAACAGAGGATGATAGTAGAATTCAGCAACCCCAGAGCGGTATCAAAGGATAATTGGAAGTCCTCATGAAGCGAGTCAGATAAATTAAATCTAGGCGAGAGCTCGTCTTTTGCGGTTTTTCGGTTGTTTTTTCTGTTTTTCTTCTTCTTTCAGTTGTCGATGGAAAACGAGTGCGCAGGGGCTGGGTTGCATAGAAGTGTGTTATGTATATACCAAAGCATGACCTCTACTCCCAATCACATATCCCTTGCAAAAGATCTGGAGCCACATACGTCAACACTAGTATATGTATTGCTTGTTTTGTATCTTTTAATACGGTCTGCGGATTGTAAACCTTCGGAAGCAAGGCCATACAAACTAAAATTCCTACGGATGATCTATACTGGACGTTACTACTCCTTATAAATACTACAGCTACATGCCATGTCATCCTAGTAGTCCAAAGTAGTGTGAAGCATGTAATAATTGAGGATATTCTATTTGTATTAGTACAGAATATGCACAAGGATTGGTTCGACATTCGTGTCTAGGGATGTGTAGGATCATAATACTTATCGGGTATCTAGCCTTTGATTTGCAGAACTATGTGTTACAGCCTTGCCTACGGCCCAGCTGCGGCCGATGTCTGCAATAATAGGTATTCATCGGCTGTTAAATGACCAGGGGCTGTAGGTACCTCCATCCCATCTCCCTTCGAACAGCATAGCTGGCTACGAATCTTCTTTCCTGCTCAAAGATCCTATTTCAGACTGACATTTGGGCGAGGCTGTTCATCCCAAGGACTTTTGCGAAATGCCTTTCAATCTGGAAGACGTGATCTCAAAATATTGAGAGTTCGAACTCACCTCACCTTATCTCTATAATGGGCTCGCTATCTTTATATTCTGCTACTGGTGGAAGTCCACAACGCTGGAAAATCCATCGGGGCTACCAGTTATTGGCAGAAGATGGTATAAGCTGGGAAATGGCAAAGCCAAAAAACGGTTCCGGGATAATTCCCTTGGTATGGTCCGGTCCTGTCGAGAAAAGGTCGGTAGTCGCCCAATCTTGATCCATTGCCTGCCCTCTAATCCTGGAATCTACTTTCGAACAGTATGGAGATGCTTTCTATCTGTATACCGATTCTAAGTATCGTTTGATCCTTTGTCGCAATTATATCGATATGATGCGCAATGAAAAGGGCTTAGGATTTCGCCAGCGGACTCGCATTGGTAAGGAAAACCACCCTTATGGGGAGAAAAACGGATTACAAGGAGGCAAAAACTAGACAATGGTGTTCACGGCTTCGAGCCGATGGCAACGATAACAAGTGACAAGAAGATATACAAGCTGTGGCGAAGCACTCACTTAATCGCCATCTGGGTGAGCCGTTCATTACCTTCCGTATTTCTGCCACTCATGATGCCGTGAGTTACCGAGGGGAACTGTTAAATTTAACTGGACCAAAGGAAACTTTACCCAGCCACTGAATGAAGAATCCGACTACGCACTTCGTCAAGTCTGGACTGACAATCCTGGTATTGCCACTCCATACTCTGACGTGTTGGATGGAATTTGACATTGGGGCTGACGAGTCCATCAGAATTTCACGAGGTGATGTTGAAGGATAGTATTTGGAAACTCTTCTCACAGATCATGTCCCAGATATTTATCAATAACCTAAACTACTATTAAAACCCGGAGTGGGTTAAGGTAAGCTTAAAATATATTAAGTTACCCGCCATCGCAGGATATGAACTTTGATTCTTCCTAGCATGGGTAAAACCCTTAGCCATATAATTCTCCCCTAATTATCAGAGACTCAAGACCCTTCTTGAATATATTAATACTCTCTTAGGCCTGTTAAAGGAGAAGCTTAATAAACAAGGCTTAGAAGTTAACCCCAAGAGCCTACTTAGTTTTCTATATCAGAAGGTAGAAGGCTATTAAGATAAGCTTGTATTATATGTTATTAGTCTATGCCTTATGTTGTTTGATAGAGGAGACAAGCTCTTCACTCATGTCATGTACTTAATTTAGAGAAATAAACAACTAATCCGTGACCTCCATTCGGAAAATATTAACATGGTTAAAAAGGAGAGCTTCAACAAGAATTCCCTGCAGAATTTAGTGCTCATGGATAGTGTTATAAGAGAGACACTATGTTTACATCCTGAATCTATTCATATGTCTCTCTTTCTTGTCTGCCTACACTTCAGAAGAGTGACCTCCTTTACTGACTAGATATTAGTCCTGTTGCAGCGATTGGCCACGGAGAAAGTCGTGCTAGCCGACGGACTTATCATCTCCAACGGCACTCCGATCATGGCCTTGACGTCCCACATTGTCGACGGGTCGACCTGGCCTGACGGCGACAAGTTCGACACGGCTACCGGTTTTTTAACCTCCGCCAGAAGCCAGATCGTACTGCAAGCTTGGCCTCATACAACTTTACCTCAACATCTGCGGACCATTTCGGCTTTGGGCACGGATCTCAAGTTTGCCCGGGGAGGTTCTTTGCGTCGCATATGCAGAAAAGCCTGTTTTAAACATGTGCTCATGAAGTATGATGTTGAGGTTATGATTCCGGAGGAGGGCGCATGTTTTCAACGGGGACAAACTCATGTTGCGCATCCGGGGCTGAAGGCCCGTGTTAGGCGGAGAAAAGAGGAGATTCAGTTGCGAGGGATTCGTTCTGTAACGGAATGGGTATTAGGGTCATAGGGTCTACCACATTGCCCTGTCATCTCAGTTAGTCAAATTACGGAACTCGTCCCGACACGGTGGAAATCCTACACCTGCTGTAACTATCTCAAATTCGAGAACCAAGTCGGCTGACAGTTCCCTCAGCGGTGTTAATACGGTTGAGACACCCCCCCCTGTATAAATCTACCGGCAACACCAATAGTGCTACATTCGCCTGCCACCGCATTATACCCATGCCTCGCGGCAGCTGCATAGAGGTCCATAACCAAAACACCTGCGCCAAATGTCACAGCCGGACCCTCGGATTCCGCCTTTGCTCTGGCCGTCTGTGGCACAAAGTTGTCCATGAACGTGATATCTTTGAGGCCCTGTGTCAATATCTGGAATGAGTCTACCGCGCTAGACCGACCACCAGCATCGTGGCCCGTGTTTTTTAATTGTCAGGTGCAGATTCAGAAAACCCAAGAATATATGTCCGTCTTACCAAGGAGGGCCAGAAGCGGGGAAGGGAAAATCGATCTCTTAGGCCGGAAGAAGAAGAGATCCCAATGATGCATGTTTCAATATCCTGCACTGCCCGTCGCCCGATAGAATGCTAGCATACCGTAGTACTATCCACCTTGCTAGATAACTGAACTAGCCCAAACGACCCCTGCCATCTCACAAGGGGTCATTCTCATAGACTGATCTTGAAATTAAATCGATTCGAAGTAAGTGCACATTGTTTGTGCAATCGTCGGGTCCTTTTTAGGTAATGAAGGCCAGCTACTGTGGATAGTCGATAGATGGTGGAGCACATTCCTTGTAGTAATGATGTATGTCAGAAAGCGTGGTAGGCAACTATTATGAACAACCTAATCAGGTTCCAGATACAGTCTGAAAGCAGATGCATCAGTGATAGACAAGAGCAGCAAACACAGGTGGTACAATAGCTTGGTTTTCTTCACCTTAAGTTTTTGTTCACGGAGTAAATTTCCTCACTCCACCACTGAAATTGACGGCATAAAATGTGGCTAACTGGTAATTGTCCAATTACAATCAGTTTCAGTCGAAGGTGATGTGCACCTCACTCAATATCAACTTCTATAAAACAGTCATGCTGCCCTCCGAACCTTTAGGCTGTCGCAATATGACACCATAAATTCTTATCATACATCAAGGAGCTGCTTGTACGGCACTCTGAACCAGAAGAGCAGATCAATCATAAAAATTCTATACTCTGTACACCGCACCTATAGATAGAGTCACCCCTTACAGAATCATCATTCCCAGAGGGGCATACTGACTCTTGGCTACATACGTAGTGCGCCATATGTAAATGCGCGCATCTTGTTAAATACGGTAGGCTGTGAGTGACTTTGTGTCGAATAAAACTTACTGTTTTATGTTCCAGGAAATCAGGTGGCTCCTTGCGCAAGCTCTTGATGGATAATACTCCCATGACAAAGGAATGTTGATTTGGGTTGAGGGCAACAAACCTTGCGTCCATGTATGTAGTTTGGGGCGCTCACTGTATGCTCCTTACTCCGACCACAAACCGGCTTCAGAGCGCTGTATTGATGTGAGGGTAAAGATACGAGTTACAACATCATAAGCTTGATATCCATGGGTCTTCCCCTCAAGT